GCCCCTTTAGCTGCAGAAGGCAGGCAATCGTGGGGGCAAACCTGGAGCTGTGTCTCACAGACATGAACACGGCTGTGTGTTTAAATAAGGGAGTGTGCAGATGGGCAAGTTTCACTCTGATGGCCCTCAAGCATAATCCCAAAATATTTCCTCGGCAGGACCTCTCAGCGAGCAGGCTGGATGGCGTGCTCTCCATGGGCTTTTATTCAGCAATTCTCATTGTCCCTTACATGGCTCCGAGCACTATTTACTGTACAGCGTCCAAATTCAGCACTGAATACAGATGTGGTCCTCTCCTCGTGGGGCTTTCAGCAGTGCTATTCACCCCAAGGCTTTAAAATCATTACGAGCAATGTCCTTTCTGAGCTGATGGCTCCCAATGCAAGTGTTCCACACCCACTTCCCAGGGGTACCCTGTCATTTCGGGGCCTTGCTATTTATCCTGGATGCAGAATTGCTCTCGGTGCCTCTTGTTCCCAAGCCAGCCCCACTGGCATGCAGCACCCTGTTGCACAACATCAGCATGCTTCATGTCTCTAGCTCTCATTCATTCTCACATCCACCCTTCTCCCCAGCCTGTCTCTTTGTCCTGCCCCTTGCAGGGAGCCTCTGCCCTGCCAGCAGTAATCCTAAAGTGCTGTGGTTCCCTAGGACTTTCTGGTTCCCACACCTGGCATGGGAGATTGAAAAAGCCATGGCTAACGTTTGCAAAAATGCTCACTGGCTTTTGTGTGGTCAGCCCAAAAGATTTCACCATCCTGTTGGAGAGGTGCCGTGTGGAAGAGAGGACCCTGTGGATGCCAAGCACAGGGGTAAGCGTTATCTGCTTCACAAAGTGCCTGGCCAAGCTGAGCCCCAGACAAGAAGACAGAACATTATTATTGCTGTTGAGGTGGTGGCGTTTGCAGTTGTCACGGCTGCTTCAAACTGTCGCCTTTAGGAGCTGACAGCCTTGTGTCCCGAGCTGGCAGTGCGTGTGACCCTTAGAGGCCAGTGATGATTCATGAAGGAGGAAGATCGTGTCAAGATCCTTGTTCTCGAGATGCTAAACAAAATACCCAGATCCCCAAGGTTTGTGGTTTGAGGAAAAGTGTCTGTGGCAGCTACAGTGGTTGGTATTGCTGAGATCTGAATGAGTAACGTGTGACACCAAGTTTATGTAACCACAGTGTCAAGCCCCAAATGGTTTTCATGTCATCATCTTCCATAACCAGGTCAGTTGCTTCAGGTCAAAAGCCTGACTTAAATATTAAATTTATTATCAAGATTTTTAGTGTCATTTGTTATTTCAACAAGTGAAAAGGCAGACTTCAATACCTTATGAAAATCATACTAGGCTTTGGTTTATTCCAAGAAGCCAGCCAAAGATGGCCTGCACTCTTAGTTTATGAAGAGACATCAGAGGTGATTCAAAAGAGAAGCAGGACCAGGGCAACCATTCCTTTTCTCCACTTATAAATGCTCACAGCCCAATTGCTGCTAGGTCAGGCCACACTCTGCTCTGTTTCAGGGTGGTAAGCACAGGTGGGAAATAGACAAGAGAACCACGAGTGTTTGTGTGTTTTCGTGCAGCAGGACCAAGGTGAGCGGGCTGCAGAACATGGGAAATGAACTAATCTCACCTTTGAAATCAACAGATTGAAGGGCTTGGCAAAGCAAGAGCATTATAGCTGTGTCTCTTCAGGATGGATATATGACCTGGGAGTCTGTGAGCCAGCCAGGAGCCAAACTTCCTCGGGTGTAGCTGGCTCTCCCTTGCATTGGGGAGATAGGACACGCCACCTCTCCAGCCACACCATCCCACTGCTTTCCAGTTCTACCAGGGGACAAACAGCTGCCTGCAAAAGGAGAGGCCCTGGCTGGAATGTAGCCTTCTTAGGGAAATGCAGCACAAGAGAGGTGCTGATAGTCCTGTGAGGGAGGGAATGAGATAAGGCAGGTGCCGGAGCTCCTGGCATACAAGGGGAGGCTGAAAGAGCTGTTTCTTTCAGCCTGAAGTAAAGAGAAGTTAGGAGGTCACCATTTACTCTTGGACTTTTTTTTTTTTTTCGCTTTGGTGTGGAGGACTACAGAGAAGTGAGAGCCAAATTCTTCTGACAGATACGCAGTGAAATGCCCATGAAATTTGCAAGTGACTAGATAAAGGGAAAACCTCCTCCCTAAAGGTAGTTCAGCACTGACACAGGTTTCAGGAGGGGCTGGGGAATCTCCTCACCTTGAGATGGTTAGAAACTGCCTGGCCAAGGCCCCAAACAGCTTCATCTAGGTCTAGAGCTAGCCCTGCTGTTAGCAGGGGTTTGAAGTCTAGACCTCCAAACATCTCATCTGGATCTTCCTGTGAAACTCCTACTCTAAAAACACATGGAGCTCCACTGCCCTTTTGACACACAGCATATGGTAGTCTCCTTGATGGAAGGAATAAGGAAGCAAGTTATAGCTGCTTCCACACCCAGATACACCATGCTCTAGTATGCTGATTTTTGCCTACAGAGAGAGCTTCATAATGTCCTCCTGCAAGCCTGTCCAAGCTGTCTGTATTTAGTCTTCCAGCAGCAGAGACAAATACTCTTCTTTTGATTAAACTGCACAGCACCTCATAGGAATTACCCAGCACCCAAATTTTTGGACTTCTTGTCAGATGTTCATCAAAACAATGTCTCTGACAGCCTCCTGTATGAAAGATATTGGTTTCTCAAGGCTGGACAACATCCCACTGTTCTTAAGACAGACTAGAGCATACTAGAGAAATTCGGTAGCTCTTCATCATTAAGTCTTTTCTCTGCACCCTGCAACAAGCCTAATTCAGTGACACCTCCCCTTCCAGCTCATTTATGGGTGCACACCCGTATTTAGAAAAAAAATAGAAAAATTCTGCATCCTTTGGGGGGGGGGGCAGGGGGGAAGAGGCAGCAGCTAATGTTAAATTATCCCTTTAAGAGCTGTACATTGCTCTGCAAATGTAATTTAAACAGAGTATGATTTGAGATGTAAAAGAAAGCAAATCCCACGAATGTTTCCATTCACAGATCGCGTCACGTTGCCAGCCCATCCCATCCCCGCGCTGTTACTCGTACTCCGGCTGCATTCACGTTACAGCGGAGCAATCTGATGGAGACATCAGCTCGTACAACAGGAGTGCTCAGGATCAGCCGAGGGCTTGGACATTCCTGCCACAAAGAAACTGCAGCCAACTCTCTGTCGCTGAGCCAAAGGGAAAGCAGCATATGCATCTTCGGATGCACTGGACGAGGACAATTATTTGCAGTGACCCAAACAAACATGCCAGCATCACGTATTCCTTCTGTACATTGTGCCAGCAGCGACGAACTCTTTTGATTTAGAAACAGCACCAAGGTGGGATATTGCTATGGTGGGATGTGCTCCCGTCCCCTCAGGGCTTCCACGCACCTTCCTGACACAGGGACGTGGTGATGACTCCCTGGCAGAAACTCTCGCCTGACAAATTCTTCATGTACACTACTTCCCTGCCGTTGCAGCCTGGCTGCATTTAAATGGACAACGCCGGCTACCTTGGGCGCTTAGTTGCCTTCCTTGCGCAGAAAAGGACGAATGGGAGGGGCGGGGGGGAAGGGGAGATGCTCTTGGGAATATGGAACGTAACAAAGTTTTGGTTTTTTTTTTTTTTTTCCCCAAAAACCTGCCCTGATTGCTAAGCAGTAGCCATACTGCTCACAAAACCCCAGTATCTAAAACAAAGGAGCAGTGAGGTGTACAGCGGGAAAAGACAGCCCACTGGCTGTACCCAAAATGCACATTCCTGCAGGGAAACGGCGCTGTCACGCACAGAAGCGCTTTTGCGGGGGGCAGGACGGCGGGGAGGGGGCTGGGGGCCCACAGGAGCCGCGGGGCGGGGCAAGATGGAGCGGAGTCTTCCCGGCGGCGCCGGACTACAGCTCCCAGCGAGCAGGGGCGGGAGCCGCGCTGCAGCCGGGCACCGGCAGCTATTCCTGCCGCTGGGATGTGTGCCGTGCGCTGGTGATGCCCTGGAAACCAATCCTGGCTCTAGCCTCGCATTCTCCCTCCCACCCTCTTCTCGGTTCTGGGCATGTGTGCCAAAGTCTTTGTCTTCCCTTCTTGGACTTAGTCCTTCATCTATGCTGTTTCGTAAAGGATCAGCGGTGAAATGCCAGTGGTATAAAGTTTTGGTTTTGGGTTTTAAAGTCTGCGTTAGGACACAGTCCAGGGGGAGTGGGACTTGCTGAGCAACCTCAGAAACAAACTCAGACAAGAGTTAAGCAAGGGTCTGAAAACTTTCTGTAGAGAGGTGGGTCGGAGCTGAGTGTGCCCAAGAACATAGTAGGGCTACTGACGTGAATATAATGGTGGGCAAGGTGCTTTTATCATTTATTCTCTAGTTGTATTTCTTACAGTAGCACCCCCAACCCCCCGCCTTCCTTTGAGTCAGTGCAGAACAAAGCTGTTTGTTGAGAAAGCACTGGGATTTGCTGGCACCCAGCCTGCTGGGGCACTGCCTGGAGCACGGGCAGCTTTCCCCAAGTAATGCTGAGTTGCCCCTGTGAAAAAAGATAGAGCTGAGAGAGACTACCCATCCCACCTACACCTCCAGTCACTGCCCTACAAACCCCTGTTGGGGGAGGACAACCAGCGTTTTCTCTCTTAAAGACTTGCCATTTCTGTCCAGCATCTGGGTCCTGCAGACGGCTGGGGCCCACCCTGAGGCCTTTACATCAGTGCACAGCAGATCTTCATGCAACACGGTTTGGTGAAGATGACAGGGGTAAGTCATCACACACGCCTTCCCTTTGGTGCTTCCCAGCTGGTGGCCAACAGAGCAGTCTGGCTGTGGGACAAAGCTGTGAAAGCAGGTGAGAGTAGCTGGGCCTTCTCTTCCCCTTGCCAGCCTCCTCTGCCTTCCTTTTGTTACCTTTCTGTGTGAGCATCTCCTGCTCTGGTGGCAAAATGTCCCCACTTCCCCAACACTGGCAACTAGAGATAAACATCAGGCCAAGTCAGGCAACTCAGGTGTGAAACACATTTTAATAGAGTTTAGGGATCTGTAGTTTGTCTGTTGGTCAGCTGAGCAGGGGCTGTCCAGAAGGTGAAGCAGACATCATGGGCAGAGGGGAGGGTGAAGGAGTGCAGGAGGGGAAGGGAACAGAGAGAGAGAAGTCACAAGAAGCAGATGAGAGCGTGGCTTTGTTTACGGATGTGCTTTAATCTATTGCCCCACAGTTCTGTGTGCTGAGCCAGACACTGACAGCACACACACACACACACACACCAGGGTGGGACAGCAGTGCACAGACTGACAGCACACACACACACACACACACACACACACACACACACACACCAGGGTGGGACAGCAGTGAACAGACTGACCACACACACACACACACACACACACCAGGGTGGGACAGCAGTGCCACAGACTGACAGCACACACACCCAGGGTGGGACAGCAGTGCACCTCAACACCAAGCTGCTGGCAAGCACAGCCCAACACAGCACAGCCCAACACGACACTGGCAGGGCTCAGTGCAGACACACGCTCGGGGCACAGGGACGCTGTAGGACACAGGCACACACCCACACACAAGCACAACGAGAGCGAGCACTGGCAGCGCCCGGCTGGACGCGGCCGCAGTGTCCGAGCACACGGATGGTCACTGCACATGCTTCAGCACCAGGGACACGCTGGGCACCCGCTCCCGTAGTCTTGCATGGAGCAGAGCGGCCCAGGTGAGGCCCTGCACAAACAACAGAGACACACAATGCCTAGGTCCAGGAATGCTTATGAGCCCACAGCAAGGGACAGGGTGTGGGCCGCTCTCTCATCCTTCGCCTGGGTACAGTTAGCCAGGGACACCTGAACTCAAGGGGTTTCGAGGTGACAGAGTGGGGAGAAAGAGCAAAAAAGGGAGCAGTGGAGGGAAAGGGGGGTTCAGAGTCTGTGAGGTGGGAAAGAGCAGCAGGGTGGCTGTGCCCTGGGGACGATGTTCAAAGAACACTTGGGTTGCGGAAGTTGTGTCCGGCGAAGCGTGCTTCATCGCCAAGCTCTTCCTCAATCCTGCAGGAGAGAGACAGCACACTCAGGCCCTTGCAGTGAGGGAGCATTGCAGGCACCAGGGCCCTGGAGAGGCAGCTCATCAGCAGGAAGCTGACATGTGCCCGAGAGCTCAGCTCCTGCCAGCTGCTGTGACTGCAGGGATGCACCTCATGCCAAGGAGGAGGAAAGGAGTCTGCCCCAGAGGCCTCCCCGGGATCCTACTGTCATCTCTGTGCCTTGTCTTTGTAACGTTTCACCCACAAGCTCCATCCACCCTCGGGCTTTCAGCTTCTCCCACCCAGTTGGTCACTCCCCTGTTCTCTCTTCTGCATTCCCAGCCCTGGAGCCCCTTACCTCATGAGCTGGTTGTACTTAGCCAGGCGTTCAGACCTGCAGGGTGCACCCGTCTTTATCTGTAAAGCATTCCCCAAAGCAAACACTGTAAGACACTGTTATGACTTGCACTAGTTCCTCATGGCAGGGCAGGGGATTCTGTTTTGACACCCCTTTGCTTTCCTCCAGGCCTGTGCACAGCCTGGGTTTCACCTACCTGCCCAGTGCACAGCCCTACAACCAGATCAGCAATGAAGGTGTCTTCGGTCTCCCCAGACCGGTGGCTCACCATCACACCCCATCCATTCTCCTGGGCCAACTTGCAGCTGCAAGGAGTGAGAAATGCAGTCAGCAGCTCCTACTCCTACATTTACCACCTGCACAGGGCAAGATTCAGGCACACTCTGCTCCCACTCTCAGCATCCTACACTTTGGCAGAGACACAAGTCTGTTCACCCAGTGTATGGTGTGACACCACGTGGTGAACCACCATGGCTGTGGTTCATCACCAGCCCATTCACAGGACAGCAAGGGCAGTGGGCTGGACTCACGCTTGGATGGCCTCTGTGACAGATCCAATCTGGTTGACTTTGAGCAGGAGGCAGTTGCAGGCTTTCTCTTCAACAGCCCGCTCGATGCGCTTAGGGTTTGTCACTGTCAGGTCATCTCCCACTATCTGAATCCCCACATTGGCAGTGAACTTAGACCAGGCCTCCCAGTCATCCTGGTCAAAGGGATCCTCAATGGAGACCACTGAAAGGACAGCCAAAAAGACACGAGTCACAGCTGCCTCCCTTCCCACCCCTGAAACACAGAGGGTTTGTGCCTGGTCGCTGTGCAGAACCAGTGCTGATCCCCTGCAGCCCGCGCAGCAGCTCACCTGGGTAATCCCGCACAAAGCTTTGGTAGAGGTCTCCCAGCTCATCTCCAGAGATATAGCGGCTTGGGTCATCTGGGGACTTGAAGTCCAGGTCGTATTTGCCATCCCGGTAGAACTCGGAGGCTGCCACATCCATGCCGATGACGATCTTGTCTGTGTAGCCCGCCTTGTCAATGGCTTCCTTGAGCAGCTCCAGAGCTGAGGGGAGAACCACAGTCAGGAGAGTCAGCCCATGCAGAGAGCTCTGCCTCTCGGTGGGAGCCTCCCTTGGGAAGGGCCCCAGAGCCACCGAGAGTCAGGTGGTGTGATGGAGAACTAGAAGGGAGCCCAGAACACAACAGAAATGCCAAGGAGCTGTAGGGGCTGTGTCCAAAGGGACAAGGAGGAATTAAAATGTGATTCCACAGCTCAAAGACAAGTTTGTGGAAAGCTTTGTAAAAACATGCACATCATAAAAGGTTTGTATGGGGAGGCTGTGACAGATCAAGGCCACCCCAAGGAGAGGGAGCTCAGAAACATTCCCTAACACAGGAGGTCAATGACATTTAGGTATCATCTTTTGAATCAGTCCAGGGAATGCTGTGAGCTGGGCATAGAGACCTGTAGCATTGCAGGCAGGGGTACCCTATCTCTGTAGGGCTCTCACCTTCGCTATTTTCCAGGATGTTGGGAGCAAAGCCTCCCTCATCACCCACATTGGTAGCATCTTTGCCATACTTCTCCTTGATGACGCTCTTGAGGTTGTGATAGACCTCAGCCCCGATGCGCATGGCATCGCGGAAGCTTTCGGCTCCCACGGGCAGGATCATGAACTCCTGCATGGCCAGTTTGTTGCCTGCGTGGGAACCTCCATTGATCACATTGAAAGCCTGGAAGAGTCCATGAGAGAGTCACAGCTGAAGGAACCGGTCTTGGCACCCCTGAGAGGTGGCTCTCAGATGTGTCACCATGCCCACACATGCCACATCCCACAGGGTAATGTAAGCACATCAGCTTCAAACATCAGACCAAAGACACGTAAGCCTGGAGTCTTCCCTCCAGCAGTGGCTCAAACCACATGGTTAGGGAGGATTTTCCCACCTGTTCCCTTTCAGAGATCTCCTGAGTTATATGTGTTTATCTATGCTCTGTTTATCTGTACCTGTTTATCAACAATGCTGTCAATCTCTCTTCCAGGACTTTTCTTCTTGACCCCGAGAAAATTTTAGCATCCACAGATCGCTTTGGGAAAGAGTTTCTCAAGGCAGGCTCCCCTTGGTGTGAAGACCCATATGCCCTTGTTTTGAACTGTGCCCCAGAGGGTTCACATGATGCCCCCCTCTGCTTCTTGTGCTAAGAATGAGATCATCAGTCAGCCCCCCACCACAACCTCTCCTCTATCCTCCTCAAGCTCCTTTTTTCCCATTGAAACTTGACAAATCTCAGGCCTTGGTTTGCTTCCCTGAAAACTGCAGTGCACTCAGCTGATGTTTCAATCCCATATCCCTTCCTTATCTACCTCCCAACACCTCTGACGTTTCTTTTGGGAACAACACACTTTTGGAGGTTCGGAAGGTGGATGTCAAGGAGGGAGGAGTCTTACTGGCACAGGCAGGATGAGGTCGGAGTTGCCGGCCAGGTCAGCGATGTGCCGGTACAGGGGCACATCCTTCTCTGCAGCTCCCGCCTTGCACACGGCCAGAGAAACTCCCAGGATAGCATTGGCACCAAACTTGGCTGTGGGCAAAGGAGGAGATTGACTTTTCAGGCGGCAACATCCTGCCCAGTGGGTGGGTGCCCTTGCCAGCCCAGCCTTGCTTGGGCAGTGCCCCCCGCTCCAGCCCTGCAGCCTCCCATGCCCGTAATTTCCCGGCCAAAAAGAAGGATGGATTACATTTGTTCTCTGTGCCGTCCATCTCAAGCATCAGATTGTCTATCTTCTCTTGATCCACAACAGAGAGGCCCTGCAAGAAAGAAACAGCTCCTGAGAAGGGGATGACTGGAAGAGCTGCTGGCTCTGGTGTGCGGGAGAGGAGGCGTTGATGGAGAAGCTGGAGGTAAAAGGACTTTTTCAGCTTGTGGGGGAACATATACACACAAAGCTCTGGAAACTGGTGCCGTGCTATTTAGTCAGGTTAGGTAACCCTGCTGGTGTTTCTGCAGTGCAGTGTGGATGTACCCGTGGTGGAGAGGGGGTCAGCTGCAGCCCAGGGAAGGCCACGCATTGCTGGGGACACAGGACACCCTGGGGGGTTTCCCAGCCTTTTGGCAGCTTCCAGGGAGCTTTGTGGTGGTGCTGTGGTCACACAGAAGCTAGGCAGAACAACAGAACATGCTCAACCTCAAGCAAGCGAATGTAGACTGGATGGAGCCATCCCCAGGAGTGAGGTGGAAAGCAAGATTAGACCCAACACAGGCAGCTCTCCACCATGCTGGGTATTTTTCAGGGGCAGAGAGAACTGTGCTCTCAGCCAGAGCCAGCCATGGGCTACATGGTGTGTAATATGTGGCTTTGGCTCAGCTCTCCTCAAAGCAGGCTCCAGGTCTTCAGGTGTAAACAGGCTGCAGATGTGACACCACTGCTCTGCAATCTGTGCCAGACCCTGCACGGTGCAACCATTGCTCATCACACCAGGATGAGGCCACAGACGTGTGGATGTGATTCAGTGCTTGAGGGGGAGCACAGCTGAAGGAGGGGGTGAGTTCTACAGGGAGCACCGAGGGGATGAGTTAGGCTGCACAGATGCTGCGGTGGAGAAGGAAGAGTTAAATCCTTTCCTCCCAGAGAAAAGATTGCTGTGGACACACACAGGCATGGAGAGCGGGAGGGGTGTGCCCAGGTTCACAGAGAGCATCACTGTGTCTGTTAACCCAGTGAGATGAAGAGAGCAGAGACAGAGATCAGGGGACAGAGATGGACAAAAGTAAGCGTTGGACAAGGGAGAACAAAGAGAAATCCTTACAGAGCCCACGAGAGCTGGGGCGACAGTGCTGTTGATATGATCCACGGCCTGCAGGACCCCTAAAGAAGGGAAGAGGCAGAGAAAGAAAGAGAGAGAGAGAGAGAGAGAGAGAGAGTGAGGCAGAGAGAAGAGTGGAAAGAGGGAGGGAGAGGACCGATAGAGAGACAGAGAGAGGGAGACAGCAAGGGAAGATCGAGGCCTGATCTTTCACTTTACACTAGCTCTGTGCCTCTGTGGTCTCCCTGAGGGACACATCCGTGTCACACCAGTGGGTGGGCAGTGCCCTCCAGCAGGGCCCTACACACAGGCAGCCCTGAGGATGAGCTGTGGAGCAGGCATCTCCCCACCTTTTCCAAGGAAACGTGACTTGTCATTGTCTCGCAGCTCCAGCGCTTCGTAGATACCAGTGGACGCTCCACTGGGGACGGCTGCTCGAAACATGCCTGGAAAACAGCAAAACAAGGGTGTGAGACAAGCAGAGGGTGAAGAGGAAAAGCCCTCATTCACCTGCTTCTGCCCTGCTTTCACAGGAAAGGATGCAGCAACTGCTTGTGCAAATGGATGGCCTTCCTGGCTGGCTGCTCATGGCTGGCCTCCCTAGAGGTGGAGCACCTCAGGGGCAGAAATAGATGGCACCCAGGGCTTCCAGGCTGAGGAACTTGGATGTCAGGCACCCAGAGATTCACACTGATCCCAAAACCGTGTGTGATGGATGGAAGTTCTTCAGCCCTCCTCCTAGTTCGAGAAGCAGCCTGACTCACAGCCACCCTCAGCTTCCTCCCCCTCAGACTGAGGTTTTTGCCTCACTGAAGAAGGAAGACAATGGTTGCATGCCTGCTCTGGCCTCTCACTGCTCCTCACCCCTCAGCCCAAGCAGTTTTGGGGATCCATGTAAGTGCAGCTCCTCCAGCAGAGCCCCACGCATGGACATAGCTGCACAGAGATCTCAGGAACAAAGCTTTACCCCTGCATGGCCATGGATGTGCTACCAAACATCTACTGTGCCCCAGGGCTAAAAGCCCAGCTGCAGCAGGGGTACCATGAGAAGATGCAGACATTTATGATAAAAAGGCCTTCATAACAGTCCCTGCTATGGGCAGGCATGTGGCTCAGGTCACACGCAGGACAGCCAGCTGTCTTGTCATGGTTAGCCTGGCACGTGTGCAGAGTTGCTGAGCACAGGCAGAGTTTTGGTCTCTGCCTCTTCCCCTGACTTGTTTGCTGGGGTTCACCCATGAGGAGCCTCCATGCTCTTGTCATGCCAGGCTGCTTCACAGCACCAGCTCTGCCTGAAAGGGCAGGGCCTGCCCTCCATCCCTTATCTCACCCTCATACCTTTGTGTGTGTAGAGGTCCACCTCAACGGTGGGGTTCCCACGGGAGTCCAGGATCTCACGGGCATGGATCCTCTCGACCGCCATGGTGAGTCTGTGGAGAGAACAGGATATGTTCAGCTCTGAGAGGCTCCAGGATGTGGTGCTCACCCCTTCTACGTCTAGACTGACAGAGAGAAGGGAATTCAAGGAAAAGTGACCTTAGAAATTTGGGCTAAAACTATTTGCCCCAGGAAATTTAGAAATCCACCCGGACTACAGGAATCTACAAGCATTTTTCCAGGAACTGGCTATCTATTTGAATTTGCTCTGTCCCTCTGCTGCAGCTGACAAACTAGGGGCACTCTGCTTCTCCCTGCGTCACAGCACAGCGCCTGACACAAGCCTGGATGGCAGGGATGGGGAGGGTGCCACGGCAGCAGAGAGGGAGGGATCAGCTGGCACAGCAGGGAGGTGCCCCTGGCTCTGGTGTCAAGGACGGGGCAGCAGCTCCTGGCATCTCCTGTCCCCTTGCCGGGAGGCGAGGACAGCGCCTGCCAGCCAGACAGCAAGCGGCTGCTGTGTCCCTGTGCGGCACCGGGGAGCCAGCCCAGCGTGATGGGCAGGGCAGGGGCAGCCAGCCAGCGGGGCCCAGCCCCTCTCCAGCCCATGCAGGGGAGCCATCCTAGCCTGGCTGTCCCACACCCCAGCCATGTCCCCCCTGCCATGTGCCTCCTCAGTGTCCCTGTGTCCCCATGAGCTGCAGGGTCAGGCTGTGCCAAGGCGGCGGGAGCGTGGAGCCTGGCAGCCTGAGGAGCCATCTTGCTGAGGCCATGGTGCCTCAGACGTGGCAAAGAGGACTCTGAAGGGAGGGGGCACCTGGTCCAGCTTCCAACCCTTCGCTCCGTTCCTGAGGCAGGGAAGCAGATGAGACTGGGCTGGATCTCTGTTGGGTGGAGGGGTGAGGAAGCCTAGCATTTTGGGGCACCTGGTTAAACCTGAAGTAGAACCATTTTGGTTAAACCTGAAGTAGAAAACATGCTGGTGGGTAATGATGGCTGTTTGAAAGAGCTTCTCTTGCTGCAGTTTGCTCTCGGGGGGTTCCAAATCAGCCACCTTCTCTTTCCCCTGGCTGTGGGGCCATGCTGAGGGGGTACTGCATTGAGGTGTGTAACTTGTCATTGTCCCCCCATGCTCCCAGCGCTGCCAAGTTTTCCTGCCCTGGCTCCCACGGATGATTGCCTCAGCCCTGAGCAGGGCTGGCAGAGGCCAGAATAGCCATGGAGCCCCAGCCAGGACATCCCCATGGCATGTCTGGGCAAGGGTACAGCCAGCCCAGGCCCTCAGCACCAGGGCAGGGAAAATGAGCTTGAACCAGCACATCCCAGCACCGAGGGGAGCTGAGAAGCAGGATGGGGAAGCCGGAGCCAGCGCCCAATGCCACTTCCCGGGGGTGGGTGGAAATCACTAGGGTGTGGGGAATTGTGCTGCTGCTCTGAAGCTTCAGCCAGAGCTTCTCCTGTGGGGAGTTGTGGTCAGCGACTCCAGGGTTTCCTGGAGCCTGCACAGGGCCCTCCACCATGTCCATCTGGGCTGGGATCCCCCATCAGCCGCTTTGGCAGCGCTCCTCACGCCATCTGGCACACGCCACAGGAACTTCCTCCAGAGTGGTGCCGGCGCAGCCAGCCGTGAACTTCCTTGCAGCAGTGTCCTGGCCGTGCCTCCACAGCCTCCACGGGGTACAGAGGGACAGGACCCCGCTTAAAGCCATCTTTGACAGCACGGCCGTGCCAGATGCTGTGGCTCTCTGCTTATCTGGTCACGTTGCCCCTGGTCACATCCCTGTGGCCACATCCACCTGCCCCTCTTGGAGCCAGATCCAAGGAAGCCAAATGACAAGCCCAAATCCAGCCTTGCCTGCCCCTCCCCATCACTTACATGACCTCCTCTCCCTTGTAGTCCTTTAAGCCTTTTCTCCACTTGTGTTGCTGCCCCGTGCCCCCTGCATTTGCTCTCTTTTGAACAGAAGCACCCTGAAATCCCTGCTATCAGCTGCACTGGTCTGAAAGGAGGTCAGAGGCGGATAAGCTGGGATAAGGGATTGGGATGGAGCCATAGCTGGGAAGCCACAGACCACATCCAGGAAGAGTGAGGAGGCTGTGCAGCCCCCGTGAGCAGGGGCTGGGCGCCGTACTCTGGGAGGCTGGTGCTGCTGCAATGCCTTTCCATGGAGCGGGCGCTGGCAGCAATTCCCTGTCCCTGCCAGGCCGGCACGGTGGAGACCCTTCCCACCAGTCCCGTGTGCCACTGCCATCCCCCGGGCTGGGCACTGCTCCCGGGAAGCCCGCACTGCTGCAGTGTCGTGACTGATGCAGCTCTTGCTTGCCTGACTGTCACTCCTCTCCGTGCTCTCCCCCTCCCCTGTGGTGTGGGGCTGTGCAAACAGGAAAACATCCCCTTTTCTCCCTCCCTCCCCGCTCTCCCTGAGCGCCCGCGTTTATGTCAACACCTCAGGAGGCTGGGGGGCCGCTCGGAGGCTGGATCCTTTCCCCAGCCGTGCCCAGACGGAGCGCTGCCTTCTCCCCACTGCCACCCCTCCCCCGGGAAAGCTCCATCCCGCAGCACCTCCCGACAGTGCCCTTGGGAGCAGCACCTATCCTCGCTGGTCGCCCCCCACTCCTGCAATTCCCTGGGCTCACGTCTGAAATGATGATTGCCGGGAGGGGAAAGGGGGGGCTTGGGAAGGAGGGAGTACCTGAAATTAAAATATGAAAGAAAAGTCAGAAGGATGGGGGTGAGGAGACAGAGGTGGGAGGAGCAGGGGGAGGAAGAGAGGGGAGTTGAGTTAATGCCGCTCGCCGTGGTCCTGCTCGGCAGGGACCCCAAAGTGCGTGTGGGGGTGGAGGGCACAAGGGGGGCAGCAGAAACACGCACGCAGTGAGGGGTGTGCTGGCCGTGGGGGGACACTTACCTTCCTAGGGCAGGGCTGGACGAAAAATTGAGAAAGTGCTGGTAGAAAGGAGAGAGGACGGAGCTGAGGAGGGATGCAGGACCTCAAGGGGAGATGATGTGTCCTCTAAGCCAACGGTGGCGGCAGCAGCAGGATGGAGACGCCCCTGATAGGGCCGGGACAGCAGCATGTGACCCAGAGCTGCGATGAGTCAGGATTTAGCAAAGCTTTGCAAACAGCACGTAGGGGATGGAGAGACAGAGAGAGGCAGGCAGCAAGGGATAGACGTAGACAGATGAGGGTGAGAGAGCCAGGGAATAGGAGTGGGTGTGCAGGATAAACAATCCCAGTCACTCCAGGCTCATTAATTATTTTTATTCAAATCAGAAAATCTTGCAGGGTTTTTGGGAATCAAATTGAACCACAGGACCTGTAACTCTCCCCTTTCCCCTCTCAGGCCTACTGAGAATAGAACACAGTGCAGTGACTGCAAAAACACTGCAGTGCCTCAGGGCAGCTTCCAGGACCAGGGTGGGTAGCACTCCTCTTTTCTCCAGAGGTAAAACGAGGTGAAGCTGGTACCTACAGCTCTCACTTTCTCAGCCTCACAAATGAGGAGAGGCATCACTACATCTTGACAGCCTCTGGGAACAGGTGTTAAAAACGGGTCACTCAGGCACTGTATCCTCAAGAGATTCTTGCATTTCCTGAAGAAGGGAGGAGGGAGAAGTTAATGACTCCATTCCCAATGTCTCTTCCCCGTTCACTGCCCTCTTTTGCTAGTGGGGTCAGGAATGGCAGCAGGGTAGCATGCTGGCAACCACAGCCAGGTTGCAAAGCCTGGCCTCTTTTTCAGTCTCTTGTGCTCTTGAGACTGACATCCCTCACCCTTCTCCTCGTGTCATATAGTGGAGGAGAGCCTTTATCAGCATGCTTGGTCCTTTTTCTTTTTCTCCACCTCCTTCTAATCCCTGCACTGCATTGTTCTCACCTTTTGTTTTTCTTTTTCTTTTTCCTTCCTTGTCTGTCGCATTTTCTCGGCCTCTTCCTGCTCCTCCTCCTCGACAGTTTCCTTGTCGAGGCGCTGCAGCCGTGGCAGCCAGGACAGGACCTGCAGCCGGTAGTCAGGTTCTTGGGCACACGGATTGTCCATCAGCACCAGCGCCTGCAGCATGGGCAGCACCTGCAGCTTTCCCACCTCCTCAAAGCTTTTGATCCCATTGTTCCTGAAGAAAAGGAAGCACAGAGAGCAGGGCAAGGAGATCCGTGCGAGTAGTGAAATCCCTTTGGAACAAGAAGTGGATGTGACAGAAAAAGCAAAACTTGGCAGCATGAGGTACCATAGGCATTAGACCACAGACCTGTCACCTAAGATGCAGATCTGTCTGCAGCTCCCCAGACTGAGGCACAAAAAGGACATCTCCTCTGGATTCCTCTGTGCTCAGCCAGCCTTTGAACCGTGTGACATCACCATGGCAAACACCGGGAACTAAAGGGCATTTGCAGGCAGAACACAGAGAACAGGATTTGAGGGACCCAACTGACTTATGGCAAGGAAGGAAAAACCTGAGGTGGGGTATGAGAAGGACTGAAGAGGCTGATATTTTCTAAGAAGCCCAGGAAAGGCCCTGGCTGTTACAGCCTGGACAGCTGCTGAACACAAGTTAAGGATGGTAAATATCAAATACCCATCTCAACCAGGTCTTCAGCTTCCAAAACACCCCCAGAAAATCTCAAACAGCTAAATGGCAGTGCAGTCTGATGAAGGGATCTCTGGTCCCAACACAGAGCAGGGAGGACCCACCGTAGGTTGAGGTACTGCAGGCACTTCATGCTAGCAGAGAATCCATCCAGGGCCTCCAGCTTGTTGTCACGCAGGTGCAGAATCTCCAGCTGCTCCAACTCCTCAAGGCCTTCAAGGCTGCAAATGGTGTTCTTGGCCTGAGCACCAGTGAGGCACGAAGGGAGAAGGGAAATGGGGACATACAGGAGAGGGAACAGCAATTATTTCTGACCTTTAAATCTCTTTCTATCCTTCAGACCCCTACCACTCATAACACAGCCTTGTCTGAAGCACAATCAGATAGCTCAGAGTATTGGCCAAATGGGTTCTCAGAATTCGGATTAAAGGACCACAAATTTGCTGAAAAAGTGTTTCCTGAAGCATTGCTTGGTGTCTGAGATAAAACCACCCCATGTGAACATTCCACTGCCAGCACAGCACCCCTTCCCATGGCAGTGCCAAATCTGAGCCTCAGAGAGCAACAGCATGGAGGGGAAAGCACACCTGAGCCTACAATTAATGTGTTTAAAGGATGAGTAACAGCCCCTCTCAGTCACACAGGCCATGTAGTCCAGGCACCTTCCAGTAGCTGCTTCTCTTGTGGGGAAAATCTATGACCAAGAAATCCCTTCACAGAATTTCCAGAATGACTAGGTTGGAAGAGACCTTAAAGATCACGAATCCAACCCATGCCCCAACACCTCAACTAAACCATGGCACTGAGTGCCACATCCAGTTTTTCTTAAACACATTCAGGGATGGTGACTCCACCACCTCCCTGGGCAGACCATTCCAGAACTTTATCACCCTTTCTGTAAAAAACTTCTTCCTAATATCCAGCCTATATCTCCCTTGGCTCTGCTTAAGCCTGTGTCCTCTCGTTCTGTCAGCTGCTGCCTGGTGAAAGAGACCAACCCCACCTGACTACAGCCACCTTTCAGAAGTTGTAGGGACTGATAAGGTCACCCCTGAATCTCCTTTTCTTCAGGCTAAACATCTTTCAGTCATTCCTTACAGGATTTGTGTTCCAAGCCCCTCACCAGCTTTGTTTCCCTCCTCTGGACGCGCTCAAGCGTCTCAACATCCTTCCCAAACTGAGGGCCCAGAACTGGACACAGCACTTCCACTCCTCTGGGCTGTGTCTTACTTCAGGAAAAATTCCCCATCACTGAATTTCATTCACTTCACTGTGATGTGGATTAACGAAGCAGGGAAATGGAAGCTCTGAATTTCAGGTACTGGTTTCAGAGCAGGATTTCGGCTGGAAAAGGCCACTAGAGGTCTCCTGCCCGAGCGGAGGCTCCCCGCAGTGCCAGCACCCACGCTCTGCTCTGTTCTGCTCTGCTCTGTCGGGCTGCTCAGCGCCTTGTGCGGCCAAGTTTGGAGCATCCCTGGTAATTGTCGGCTCCCCGCCACGTTCTCCAGCCTGGGGCTGAGCAGGGCTTTCCTTGCCGACGTGCCTCGGGGCTGCAGTCGCTAAGGATGCTGAGATCTGAACGGAAAACAGGGTGAGAGGAGCTCTTGCGCACTTTCTTCCCCATAGGCGCCCAAGCAATGACCTGGGCAATGCCTGAGATGGAAGAAGGGGCACAGGCTGAACTGGTGGGATAGGAGAACACTTCAGGGCTGAGTCATTCAGGATGCAGACATTTTGTAGTAAAGGAGGATTTTCATAGCAACTGGACAAAGAAGAATCTGGACCAGCTGGGCCAAGTAAAAGGAGTAACACCAGGACAAAAAGAGGAAAGCTGGGTATTTAGTGAAGGCCATATGAGCAGATTTATCAGTCAGGAAGGATTAGGACATTGTACCTCAGTGAAAATCGTGAGCTGGTGTGGGTGGGGAGCTCACTGATCACTGGTTCACAAAAGGCATAGTAACCTCCCAACACTCTCACTTTCTTCATCACTTCAGTGTGAATTGTTTTACCAGCTCTAGCCTTGCCAGCACTTGCAGGACAATGCAGAATGAATATTTTTCAGAGTTGATCCATTTTTCTCCCCGAAATCAAACAACATTCTGTCTGACACACCACCACCTTCCCATGGATGCCAGTTCTTCACTCAGATGTGATGCCACTGTTCCTTATGGAAAGTTACCACACATTGCCCATGATTTCTTCTCCCCATCCGGCACACTCCATCTTTTTCAGGTTAGCCTTTGCCACCACTGCTGCACCATGAGCAGGAGCCAACACAGCCCCACTGTGACCCTCAAAAATAATGCAAGTGCCACATGGCACATACCCAACTTGTAGTCTTCCCAGCACATGTCACTTTTTACATATGAAATTTCATCTGTGGCTATGTCATACATTAACCAAACGTGGTTCAATTCCTTACATTGAGCCCTTTGTCTTCAACCCTGTCTTGGCACGTGATCCTCGAGGAATCAGCTGCACTTACCCAAGGCTGAAATAACACCAAAGTCTTTACACAGAAACCAAAGCATTACTGGGGGAGATTTCCCTGCAAAACAATTTAATGGGCAGGTAGATATGGGAGACAAATTCAAGCCCCACAGATTCTTGTGAGTCGGTTGTTCTAGTTTTAACAATCATCCCTTGCAACCTTCCTGTTTCACATGGGCAGCTCAGAAACCTCCCAGTCATGCCAGGAACCTTCCCTCAGCAGAGGTGCTCTGTTTGCTTCCCTGCAATAACTCACTAAAGTGTTTGAAATTCTGTATTGTATCTAGTGACTGATCCACTTCATCCATCCTTGGAGCACCTCCAGTCATAAAATCCCAGTTTCCCATCAGAAAATTTCAGGCAAATCTCAGCAAGCAATCTCCTCAGAGTTTTCTGCCAGGGAATCTTGATGAAAAGAAGCCGCATAGTTTTTCAAAGCCTTTATCGTATTTAATTGCTTTTCAAGAGGTAGTGACTCAAGACATCTGTTTAGTCTTTGCAAGCTGTAGCACAGTGTGATCTATGGGACTAAGCCATACATACTTTCTTCATTTGCATCTCTAGGAATAAATGCTTCCTTGAAGTAATTGTTTATGATATTAAGAAACTGCTTCTCCTATCTTAGTTTCACTGCAATATTGAATCAATTTCTTTTTTGGCAGCTGTAGGTGTGAATCACATAATTGTGCTGCCTTTAAACCACTTTAAACCAGTGTTTGATTAGGCCCATCAGAGAAGAGAAAGAGGCATTGCCTCCCTTTGTCACCCAAAGGGCAAAGCTGTGGCTTTGCCCATGATCTCCAGAGGTCCCAGGGCACACAGAATACAAAGCCTGCCCAACACTGCCTAAAGGGAAAGCTGCCCTCCTGCAGGAGGGAAGAACCTGATGCACTCAACATGGACTCCTCTGAGATTCCTGGTTCATGGCCACTCCCTTGGTGCTATGTGAGCTGCAGGTGCTGGGATCTGCAGCAGCTCTGTCCCACTCCCCAGGCTGGTGATCCCTTACCAGATAGAGCTTCTTGAGCTTGGAAATACCGAGCCCTGCTGTGGTGCTCATCTTGTTCCCTCGCAGCTCCAGGACTTGCAGGCTGAACAAATGGTCGTGACTCAGGCCCAGAACTGTCTCAATTTTATTATCTGAGTGCCAGAGGAAAAAGAAACAAGAAAGTTAATCCCACCTTTCCAAGAGAGTGTCCCACAAGACAGGTAGCCTGTATCACCTTTCAGGCTGAGGTTGGTTAGGAGGGGGTGAGTAATGCCCTCAAAATCCACGATGCGGTTGCGATCAAAGCTGATGACTTGGAGGTAGGGCAGCTCCTGCATGCTGGCACTGGTAAGCAGATTCCTATCCACCTTCAGCCAAAGCAGCTGGGTTAGGCTGCTCAGGGGGGCCAAATCTTTCAGCTTGTTCTTTGACAAATCCACATACCGCAGGTGAATGAAGTGTTCGAGGAGGCTGATGTCTGTCAGGCCCCTGAGGGAGAGTGAATGTGAATAAAATATCTCACATATTTCCCCATGACCATCTTTTTGGTAGGAGGGCAACCACCTCTCCTACTTCCCTGGTGTCCTAGGAAGCCCTGCTGAGAAAAGGAAGAAAAAGGCAGGTGATAGGGATCGGCCTGTCAGTAAAGATGAATGGTAAGATTGAATCTGCTTTCCTGGCAGAGGGAGTACTTATTCCCATTGAATTCTATCTGTCAGGACAGGGCACAACCAGAGCAGAGAAGGGTAAGTTTTGGGGAGGGGTCTGTTGGACAATAGTGTCAGCACAAAGGACTGTGTGGAAGGACTTTTCTAGTGGAAAAAACAGTGGTTGAGATACCCTATGAGACTGCTGAAAGAAACAGTCTTAATGGGGCCTTGGTTAGGTGGCTCTGCTGGGGAGGCTGAGACTCCAAACTGTCCCAAGGCCATTGTGGCATGGTACTTACAGCTGTGTGCCTGTGTACTTACAGCTGCCTGCCTTAAAGGTTAGCAGCTGGGAGGACAGATGTCAATGGATATTTCTCAAAGTGCCTGTAGGGAGGTCACTCTGTTCAGCCCCCCTAGGAGAGCACAGTCCAGAGCGATGGGCAGGCTGCCCTCAGCCTTGGGGACACTGATGCTCCCAGCAGTGTGTCTGGCCGTGCTGGAGGCAGTGCCCAGCCAGGGCTGAGGATGGACAGGCTGTGCTGAGGCACGGCTGGAATCCAGGTGGCCGGAGAGCAGGGCCTGGCTACGCTCCCTTCCCACATGGCCGGTCACCAGCTTGTGGCACAGCGGCTCCATGGCCAAGGAGTGAGGGGCTTCTGCCGGGTCAGGCATTGCACACTCACTTGTCTTTGGCTTCAAACTTCACATAGGCGTGGGCCAGCCCGTTGCCGGTCTTACAGAGGAGAGACAGGCCCTCCTTGAAGTGTTCCTCGGTCAGGGGACAGGGCGGCGGCTCCTGGGAGAGAAGGAGAGAGCACAACGCCAACGCTGGCCCAGCCACAACCGGGCGGTGCTGAGGGCCTCCCCCTCACCTCTTCTTCCTTCTCCTTCTCCTTCTCCTTCTCCTCCTCCTCCTCCTCCTCCTTCTCCTCGCCCTCTTCCTTCTCCTGGCCCTCTTCCCTCTCCTCCTCGTCCTCCATGCTGCCGGGGCCGGCCGCGCTTGCCGCCCCCCGCGGCGGCCGCTGCCCGAGGCCCGGCCGCTGCCATGGGAACGGGGGCGGGCCCGCCGCTGTGCCCAGCGCCGCGGCCCCGGGGCTGGGAAAGCTCCAATCGTGTCCCGCCCTCACCGCCGGCGCTCTGCGATCCCACTGCGCCTTCCCGACTGGGTGACATCTGCGGCTGTTAGCGTATGCAGAGAACCAAAGGATTTTTTTCGATGGGAAGGACCTGTGTGCGCACCCAGCTCAGAACGGGGCGGGTTCAAAGTCGGGCAGAGCTGCACAGGGTGGTGGGCACTGGGGCGGTGAATGCCTAATGAACTCTTAATTTACCCTCTAGTAAATATTTAATTAACATGTTGAGCAGAATTAGCCTTTGGCTCTGCATGAAGCCTCCCCGAATATGAGCATGTGGATGCCGGGAAGGGAGTTTTGGGGTGCACTGCTCCATTCTCGTCCTCCAGGCTGTGGAGCTGGGAAGGGTTGAGGTTTCCCGTGCCCAGCCGATGCCAACAGCACTGGCTGTTTACCAGCCAGGAATGCTAGTCAGAGCTGATGGTCAGCAGTGGTTTGCAGTTAATCCAAAGTCCAAGGCTCTGCTCCCTTTCCCTTCAGTGCCCTTTGCTCCTTTGCAGTGCCTGGATAAGGTTGGTGCTGGCTAAGCTGGTCCAGGCAGAGCTGCTCGCACAACCATCAGCCATGGCCCTTCCTGCTCAGCACCCTGCGCTCAGGGCTGCACAGCGAGCTGGCCCCTGCCTTGTCCTGCTGGGCTCCCCGGTGCTGAGCCCTTCTCCTGTGCTACACAGCTGAATGTCAATCTGAGCTCACCCCCTGCTCATTATCACACAACCACAGGTTGGTTTGGATCGGAAGGAACCTCAAAAATGTGCTCAATTCAATACCCCTGACACGGGCAGGGATGCCACCCATCAGACCAGGTTGCCGAGGGCTCCATCCAACCCGGCCTTGAACACCTCCAAGGATGGGGCAACCTGTTCCAGTGCCTCACCACCCTCAGAGTAAAGAAATAATCTACATATGAACACTTCCTTTCCTGCCTTTGCTTCCTGCCCTAAACATTCCCTAATTACAGAAGGAAACACAAAGCTTTAAACTAGAGAAATTTTATTTAGATTATATATATCCCAAACCTAATTATATTGATAATAAGGGAGGGTATGTGCTTAAAGCTGGCCCGCACACCCTCAGAGGAGCACAGGGTGACAATGGCAGGAGAGGGAGCCCCAGCAGCACCCACCAGGCTGCTTCCAGGCCCATCCCAGGAGCATCAGCCCAATAAAGGCCCATTTCAAGGGGCACAGGAGCACAGTGGCGGGTGGGAACCCAGATTAAGGACTCAGTGAAAGGAACACCCTGTCCAGCCCCATCCTGGGAGCCTCAGCCCCAGAGCACCTTTAGGATTAGGGGTGCAGCTGTCTGCAGGGGTGTGGGACACAGGATGAGATGCAGGGGAAGAGCATTTGGGGATTGCACAGGACTCATCAGGGAGTGGTTAGGGCAGGAGCCAGGGGTGATCTAGGGCAGGCAGAGAAACAAATATCGCATACAGGAAGAAAAAGGGCCGGTCATGTGTCAGTGGTTTGTGATGATTTGTCCACGTCCTGCACCTGATCAGCGCAGCCTGTCGGGTTTCCTCATTAAACTTCTTTTGCACTTTGTCCTGCGTGAGGAACTCGTGGTCAGAGCACCACAGGGAGCTGCTGCTGGGGGCTGGAGAGGCTGGGATTGAGGGGCAGCCCCTGGGCACTGCCTGAGCCCAGCTGCTGGAAGGAGACACCCTGTACACGTGTGTAAATACTGCTGTAAATAAATACACAGAGGCTCACTAGGGCACCTCTGTCCTGCTCAGCTGGAGCAGAGAGTGGGGTGAGGCTGCCACTGCTGAGTGGGAGGGCTCTGTGTGGATGGATGTGTGTGGCCAGCCAGGGCCATGTTTAAGTGCAATATATTCAAAATCACAGAATATTCTGAGTTTAAAGGGATACCCAAAAGGATCATTGAGTCCAACATGTGTGTGTGGTGTCTTCTGGGAATACAAGCTCAGCCTGGCTATTGTTTGGGGCTGAGGATGTGGAGCCATCGCAGCCTCTCTCAGGCTGTCACATCTGGCACAGTGCATTTTTCTCCAACAGCAACCTGTTTAACAGCCAACCACTACAATTTGCTGCGAGGATCTGGCAGTATTTCCACTCCAGAAAGCTGCAGTCCTGCCAGGAAGCAGACATAAAGAAGAGAAACAAGATCTGGCACTCCTGCTGATGTAGAAATTATTTTCCATGAGTTTATTCCTCATTAAATGAATGTTTTCATGCCCCTGCATTCTCTCAAAGCAGCAAGATCAATGGCCAGCTCCCATCTGTTTTCTGCTATGTAGGTCACTCTCCTGGGCTCTTGTGCTGTGGGAAGGGCTGGGCAGGAGCTGACAGCAGAGCTGCAGCCGGTGGCCCAGCCCTGAGTGATTGTACCCAGTCCCTGCAGCCTTAGGAGCACTGTGTGCCCCTGCAGCATCACTGCTGCTCTGGTCTGGGTGACCCAAGAGCCCCAGACTACAGCCACAACCCAGCAGCCTCACAAACACGTGCTCTGGTTGAAGAAAAGTTTTCAGATTTTTTTTTTTTGCCTTTGAATTATCCTCCTTTCTCCATCACTCCACACACATACAGAGCAGGGAGCTGCCACCTCCTTGCTGCTGTCAGGCTCCTTCTCAGAGCACCTGCTATCCTAGGAAGGAGATCCCTCCCCTTCAGCTGGGCAGCAGGAGGCTCCCCCAGCAGCAGTAGGGCAGGAGCCCCCCACAGCATCAGGCTTTTCCCTCCTTGCTCCTCAGCTCCAGCCCCTTATCCCTCAGGTGATGCTGGCACTAGCAGCTGGAACACTGCCCATAGGCTCCCAAGGATGCACCGCCTCACAAACAAGCTCCTCCTTGTGAGGCACTGCTTTTTCATCATCCTCAGTACTACCAAAAAAAACCCAGCAGCTGGGAAGTGACATCAAGTCTTGCTTCCTCACCCACCAGCACATGGCTGAAAGCAGGCAGCAAGCACTGCCCCAACACAGGGCCTAAGCAAAATCCTTCCCTGCAGAGACTGAGCTGCTCCACTCTACATGTAATGAGCAAAGTCAATTACCAGTCCTTACAGGCAAAGAGCAGGGATGAGCACATTACTGAGCCTGCCAGGGAAGAGTGGCTCCCTGGTGGAGCAGCCAGGTGCTCCAGCAGCCACTGGAACAGACACAGATATATCAGAATCACCACAGGCCCAAAGAAGAGCTGGTATATGACAGAAGCAAGATGCAAGTAGAACCTGTGCAGTGCCTATGGGGGTAACAGTGGGCTCTCAGGGAAATGCCCACAAAACCCTCTCTGCAACCAGCCACCTCCACAAGCATTAAGTTCTTTACACTGCTTGTCCCCGAGATGCTTCCAAATAAGATCCAGGACACACCTTTGCTTTTTCTGTTTTCCATTTATTGTTCAGTATGGGACACAGGTGAGGTAAGACATCTCACAAGGATCTAAGCTGACAGGTTCCTTGCTGATGGAGCTGAGGGATGCAAGACTGTGGTTCCTTTTCCTCCCCGCAGCACCAGCGGCCCCCTCTCCCTGCAGGGCTGCAGGGAAAGGGAGAGATACTGGCCAGGTGGGCTGTGGGCTCTGAACAGGTCAGGGGGAAACTGAGGGTTCAGCTCAGCCAGGAGACTGCCAAGACTCTGCTGAGACAGCTCCTGCTAACAGGACTCTGACGTGGTGGGGGTGTTTAGCAGAACATCTACAACAATGACTGTGGAGGGGGAAAGCCTTGGGGAGGCCTCCGTACTGAGACGTGTGCAATAAAAGGTCCCTTCTTGCTTCCATTTCTTAACCACAAGGGACAGCTCCTCATGGGGTGCTTCAGTGTTTGGCATTGATAATATCCACGAACTCTGGCTTGAGAGAAGCTCCACCAACAAGGAAGCCATCCACATCGTGCTGAGAGGCCAGCTCCTTACAGTTGCTGCCAGTGACAGAGCCTAAGGAGGGAGCAGTGGTTTAAGGTCAGAGGTGCCAGCTCTATGAAAATGGAGCCAGGGCAAAGGCAGGACTGGCAAGGTACCAGCCACCTCCTGCAGACAGCAAGCCTGTCTCCCATTTATCCAAGCAAGCTACCCAGACAAGCTAGAAGGTGATTCTTTATGCTCTCAAAGTCAAGAGTTTCCTTGCCAGGAATAAACGATGTACAACTGCCGCAACAGGTAGAGAAACTAAGCACTTCCTGCCCTGGAAAGTCGCTCCAGACTCACTTACCTCCATAGATAATCCTAGTTGACTGAGCAACAGCATCAGACACGTGGCTTTTCAGCCACCCCCGCAGCTTCTCATGAACTTCCTGAGCCTGCAATACAACACAGGAGTCACACTGAGGCCTGAGCCACTCTGCACACAGTTCCCTTCCAAAGACAAGGGAACAGATATTCTCTAAGTCACTAAGAATTCTCCAGGAGATTCTCACTAAGAATCTTCAGGAAGGTTTCCGGAGGGGAAGGGTCAGTTGCTCATTTAATCAGCCACCTCTCCACTCATACCTGTTGGGGAGTTGCAGTTTTACCAGTTCCAATAGCCCAGACTGGCTCATAGGCAAGCACCACTTTACCCCAGTCCTTCACATTATCTAGGGAAGAGGGAGAAGGTAGAGGTGAGCACAATACCCCCATACTGGGAAGAGCAGGGCTGGAAAGTGGCTAAAAAAACCCAAACCAACCATTTATTTTTCCTCTTACCAGCAATAGCCTTGGTCTGTTCAAAAACCACCTTCTCTGTTATGCCAGCTTCTCTCTCATCCAGCTTCTCTCCAATACAGGCAATGACTCCAAGGCCCTCAGCCAGAGCATGAGCCACCTTCTGCCCAATCAACTGGGAATGGAAAAGAAACAAGGCATCCAGTAAAACAGGTTGGAGGTCTGTTTTAACTGCTCACTTTGACAGTCTTTGCAGACCCATCTAAGCTGGACCATGTCTCCATTCTATGAGGGC